ATGAAGTTAAGTCCTATTTAATGACAATAAGTTATAGAAATCGCCTCTGTGACTTTCTTTTTTTTAAACCAGGAAACATAGAAATCTGCTCCTTCTGCAAGTTCCAGTCCCAACTGTGCACCCCAAACAACAAATGGGTGGAAAGAAAAGGAAAATGAACACTAGGTCCTTTGTTTTCACTCTCATTCCTGAACTTGAGGCTGTTCTGTCTTAGTAGAAACATATCTTCTTCAGGAGATTTGGGAACTGGCTAGCAATGAGCAGTGTGTGCGTGCGTGTGCACGTGTGTGCACGCATCTGTGTGTAAGCAAAGCAAATTGTTTTTATGGTCATGCGGTACCTGCTTCTAAATGATCTGGGTTCTATTTGCAATGACTTGTGTTTTTACAAAAACGCCTTCATTGCCATCTATATGGCAGGAACTTCGAAGAAAAGGGGCTCTAATTGAGTTCTGCTCCAGTCTAAAGTCACAGAAATCTAAACCTGGAAAATATCACAGAAGTCTTCTTGTCCAGGCTCCCTCACAATCAACAAATTGCTTTTACACAATCCCTGATTCGGTTGCTCAATTTTCACTTAGATACGAGAAGAAACACTAGCTGCAGTAAGTTCACTTTGTTTTTCAGAAAGCCCAATCCATTTTTTTTGGGTGTAATGTTTAGGAAAAAATAAATCCTTATGTAAGTCATAAAGCTACCCCTTTTCATGTCTGTTCCTGATCTCTTTTGTCTTTGTTTCATCCTGCAAATTGTCCGCACCTTACAGACCTATTCCTAATCCAATTGTGACTTCTCTGCAGATCAAACATCCCTCTTCTACATATTACCAACCTGCCCACATAAGTGCCTTGTAAACGATGACATTCAGAACTGGGGAACATCTCAGGCCTGTTTGTTCTTTCTACTTCTCAAGCGAAACACAACTTCCTTCAGGCCTCTATGTATGTGACTGTGTACGACAGACTTAGCTTTGCAAACCCACCTATAGACTTAAAGCCATGCCAACGCGTTTGGGTACAGCATTCTAAAATAATGTCATTCCAATAGAGACATCCAAGGAGAGAAAAAGGAAGTCTTCACTCAACGTTGTAGACAGCTTCTGAGACTTCCAGTGGAATGACATGTAATGAAACCAGCTTTACCCTAGGCTAGTTGATATAAATGAGAGTTAAATTCCTGCAGCATCTCATCAAAATCATAACAAAATGACACTGAACAAAACAACAGGACCTGTGATACGAATATCTTTAAATGCTGAGAATCACGAAATAGAGAAGCCAGTCAGTCACTCTCAGGGCTAAGTTCTTGTGAAATCCATCCCGGAACCAAAAGATTTGACTTTTTTCTTGCTTGAAATATGTATAAACCAATAAGTCCCTGATAGCAAATATTCTGAATTTATAACTTCGTATTCTCCCTCAGTTCTAACCAACTCTCACTGTGTGACCTTCAGTAAATAGTTTTTTCAAAGAAGCACCTTCTAATTTATAGAAGTCTGAATGAATGATGCAAAACAGTACTGAAGACAATGGGAGAAAATTATTTAATTAGAAAACTTCTATTGCATGCATGTTAGTCTGCAATTTCTAAAGACCTTAGTTCTGGCTGCAGTTTTACCAATTACTATACAAATCTGAGCAAGTTGAACTCATTGCTCTGATATTCCATTTATTCATCTAAAATGTATGCTCTGCATCGTCCACCTCATGGGTCGGTATCGAAGCTCAAAGGTGCCAAAAACGATTCAAAACACTAAAGCACTAACATTTTTACCATTACCAAAATTGTTATATTAAATGGTAGGATTTAAGGTGTTTAAGCTTTTTTCTATTGAAAATTATATGTGCTTCACTTAAGGACTGAGGGACAAGACAGTTTCAGTTGTCCCCACGTGGCACCAAAGGCTCCCATTTCACATGCCATTTGGCTCCAAATAATAAAACCTTGAAAAATGGGGAAAAACCAGAATCATCACTTTCTTATTTCTATGGGTAAGCAAGCTATCATTTGTAATTATCATGCCAGTAGCAGAAGCCAAGGCATTTTCCATGATTGCCTTTTATGTACATGACTTGGCTCCCAAATATCTTTCAGGCAGAATTTTCTCTTGTGGTTATATTAGATTACATTGAATTCTAAGAATATCAAATCACAGCACTTTTTTAATATTGGATGGAGAGTAAAACAGATTTCTAATAGGACTTTACTTATGAATGCCTAAAAATATTCGTCAAAATCCATAATGCTCCAGAAGTATGATGGAGTAAGTTACACCTCTTAGTATGTTTTCTTTTCAATAGCTCTTAAAGCCATGCTTAGTTGCTTTAAAAATGTCTTACATAACAACTAAAGGTCATTCACGCCAAGATTTTAAAGCCTCTCGCTTACAAAGTGATGTTTCAAAGATTAGAAGTCAAGGTTTTCAGAAATTTTTCAAACAAAATACTGCCATTTGACAAAGTCATTTTAAAAGAAATAATTTCAAAACTCTCAGAATCTAATTCCAGCTCCCAGATCACAGGTCCCAGTGACAGCATTCTTCAGTGGTCATGCATCCTCTGTTTAAATACTCCCAGCAGTTGAAAGTTTGTAACTCTGTTTGACAATACTTCTCCTACTTCATCTTCTTTATATTTAGTCAAAACCCACCCGTAAATTTTGCCTGTTGTTTCTAATTATGTCCTTGAGATATAGGCTACATGAATTTTCGCTCTTAGGTTAGTGTTTCCAAGTCTTAAAGTCTTGGTTTCTAATACATTTTTTAAAACCAATACCAAGACGCCAAGGAAAAGAAAATGTAAAGTATCATTATTCCCCCTGCATAGTCATATTCTCATTTCAGGTTTCATAGAACTAAAACATCAGTAGCTAAAGAGTGATCGGCACAATAAGGCTTTGATTGTTCCTGCAGTGCCTGCTCCCTGGGCTTCTCCTGCACAGAACATATCGCACTGGAATTGGCCTTTTCTCCCAGACTTCCAGCTGCATGAAGTCAAGTTTCGTCTCTTGCATGCATTCATGCTCATATCCTTATCATGGTGCCTCCACCAGAGTAAGTGGCAAATACATCTTAAAAATTAATGATTAAATACACAAAAGCATGATTGGTTCACAAACATGATTGCATGCAGAATGACTAACTAAATACATATATAAATAGGCTCTGGAATCTGTCCACCATGAGGATAACATCTAATATTCAAATCTCTACTTTCAAGTGTAATGTTTCAACAGCCTAAGAATTATTCGTTTCTGCTTCTCTTTGGGGACTAGTGAGGTGACTCTCAGTGTCCTGGGAAAACAGATTGTCCAGGGGTACAGTTCCTGGCTTAGTTCCTATGTCAGGTTTCTCATTAAACTGCGGGGGGACAGGCCTTAAATCCACAGATGGCCACTAGGGTATAACATTATATAATCCAGTCACCCAGGTGATTTCGAGAGAGCACATTACTTACATCATTTGACATGGAAGAAGCTGCCATGATTGTGTACTCTCATGGGATAACTAAGGAATTTTCTAAAACCATTTGGCAGATTACTTCTCAGAATAAGGCTTGATGGAACTATATGAGATGATCAAGGTCAGTGGACATCTACTTGTCCTTCAGGCAAATTGGATACTTGTCTCAGAGGGTAATTTCACTTTGATCCATTTTGAACATAATATCTGGGGTCTATTTTGGCATCTGCAGAAAGTCCAATAGTAGGACTATCGCCACGGTCTGACAATTGGAGAGACTAGAGATGAGTGATAACTAGGACACAGAAAAGGGAAGATAGGGCCAAAGTCAGTCTGAGACACCTGGCAGAGGAAAAAACTGTAGGACTCACAATCAGCTGAATATGGATTTCATGTAAGAAAAAGTAGACTCAGAGATGGTTCTGTAAAACTTGGGCAGAATCAATTTCATACTAAATAAATGTTGAAGGTCAATTAGAAAATTCTCTAATTTAATAGATGTTCTATTTTTTTTTTCTAAAAGGAAAATAATCCATTTGAGTAATTAGTAGTTTCTTTTGATGATTATAATGAGCTATTTTAACAATGATCTATTTTACTTTTAAATGGCATAATGACATAAAATATCATGCCGTTCTCAGTGATTTTATTAGCTACTCCTATTGAAAGGAAGCCAAATTACTCAGACCACAGCCCATGTCCAAGTTACTATACCTTCTTAACAACAGCTCACCCTAATTAAATATCCTTAGGCAACCTATCCTGAGTGTTACTTCTGTAAACTCAGCCTCCTAAAGTGGTGTCAGCATCACAGAGGCAGGAACTCTCTACATGAGATCTAAAAATAGCCTAGACAAGTCTCTGGGCTCAGGTAGGCTTCATGCTTCATGGAAGGTAACATAAACAATTACAAGACCTCTTGGTCATGGATTTTATGACAAGGCGACAGCAAGTGCCGTGTGCACCTGGAGCACTGCAGTAATAGAACTAAGCTTAGTATAAGAGAAGCAACGATGAATAAATGGAAATTTTGTTACCTTATTTTTGCCTGTTGGTGTTAGCTATGCATATACAGATGATCAGCATGCTTCTCAAATGTCTTCTCCGTTTTAAATCTATGCAATACATGTGTGTATAGTATATATACACATATATGTATACAAACAAATGCATTTCTATATGTGTGGGGGCTTGGATATGCAGGGTATTTCTGATGTAACGTACAAGCAGCAACGTTTACCAGGGAAAACGCTGTTTTCTCCAGAACATGGGACCGAGGACACCACGCCAGCACGGAGAGCAGTACCTTGACTTTGCCTGTGATACTCAACTACGGTATTAGAACTTTTTATAAAAAGCAGGTTCTACTTTTATCATTAAAAACAAATCTAAACATTTTGAATAAAATTGATACATAAAAAAATAAAACAGTTGCTCCACATTTTCTAAGATGTGGATGCTAGGAGTCTAGTGGATGAACTACAGAAAGCCTTTCAGTAAAGAAACAGTTACAAGGTCCACATGAAAATACCAGGTCCACATGAAAAGTAACCACCTGCTGAGTACGTTCTTTGCAAACAGATCTACCTGTAAGCACTGGGCCAGCTCTTACGAAAGGGTAGTGAGCAACGGGGCGATGAGACATCCTCTCAGTCATCACTACCTTCATGGCCGTGTATGTGCTGGTTAAATCCTGTTTCTGAAATTGTGTTGGTTTGAGGTCGTAACCTCTACAGAGGGGACCAGAACTCACAAAGTGAAATTCTCAGCTGTGGTGTTTATTTCCTTCTTGGCTCCTGTTCTTTATCATGGCCTCAAATGCGATAAAGCAGAGCTTAACTGGGTTCTATTTCCTCACATGTATACTCCTGGAAAATGAGGCTTCAGAAATGACTACCTGTAAGGTTAGATCGCGCTGTCTTTTCATAACTCTCCATTTCTCATCCCTCTATCAGATAACCTAAAAATGGATTCCCAGGACAGACAGGGCCTCCAACACAAAGGGCTCATTTGAGTCAAACGAAAAGGAATGTCTGCCCAGCCAGCCACTCTTGTAGTACTGTCACAGCAGGTTCTTTAGAAAATGATATTTCTATAGGTATACAGTTTTATGTCTTTTAAATTAAAGTTATGTGCGTTTTTCAGACCGGGGCCAGACCATTTGCTTCTGTGCTTGCCGGGGGCTCATTAAAAGAGGGATACCGCGTACCTCAGCTGAGCTGGAAACTCTTGAAGCATATGGCTTCAACTCTTTCTAAAGCCCAGGACTATCATACGCAATGATCAATTAAAAACTAAAATGCTACGGCAGGTAGATTTAATGTTGAAGCTCATTTCCGATTTTTTTTTTTTTTTGGAAAGCCCAAGTCCTGGGTGTGTTTGCTTTTTCAAAGAGATATTTGAGTTGGTCTTATATCATTCTCCATCAGTAATGTATGACTCTCACGCTTTTTAAATTATAATAATGATAATTATTATTTTTTTGTTTAGAATGATTTCCAAATGTACCAGGACCCCGGCAGCAGTCAGTATGTCATCTATTTTCATTCCAGAGATTTACTTGTGACTTCAACTGGAGCTATTTGAATTGGCCCACAGCCACTTGTACCCTAAATTTTCTCTGGGCTGCTTTGAAGCATCACGGAGAAATATGAGATGGTCGTTGGTGGAAATACAATCCTTCACCCCAGTGATGGCAGCTGGGTAACTGAGTACGTGGCCAAGTGTTCGGCTCAGTCTAGGGAATGGAAGGCACCATTTGAAGCCAGATTTCGGTCTGTTTTAAGGATTATATTTCTGTCATCACAACATCTCCTTGACAGTCCCACCAATTGAAAAACTCCCAGCAGAAGCCCAGTGATTAAATTCTCCTGGAGCATAATTTTTCCAGCTTCTGGAAACAATCTACTGCAGTCCCTCCTTCCCTCACCATAAAACCCAAAAGATAGTTCCATTTCTAAGACTGATATATGGAAATAGATTAGTCACAACCAACTCCTCCTCCAACAGCTGAAAATAACGCCAACTATTTGAACTTGAAACGACGAAGGAGAGACTTAGAGCTTATCCACTGAGAGGCTGTTCCTACTTAACGGTATTATCATACCTGTATTTTCAAAATGCGACCAAAATGTGATTCAGAGAAGCAATGCCTCACCACTGGACCTTTAAATTAAACGTAGAGAAATGATCATTTATGCTCGCATGCAGAAATGCCAAGGAAGCACGTTGCTTGTGTCTAAGGGCAAAATGGAAGAAAGCAGTTTAATCCGAAGGCAAAACCTTGATCACCCACTTCCATTTCTGACTTATATCCAAATTGAGTAGATCGTTTCATCATAAGTGAGAAGACTTTCTCTCCTAATATTTTGGTTGTCACAGGGTCCCTAACACAGGTGCTTATGAGTAGCAACTGCTCTGTGGCAGGATTAGGAGTTGCAATTCTGCTGTGGGCTCCCTCAGTGGTTTGTATTAAGAACTTTCTAGTAGAAAAAAACAGAGAAAAGAATAGAGTAGACTGCCCCATACATGAAAATGGGCTGTAGTGCTATCAGGTATGACCTTGGGACCTGAAAAGTAATAGATGAGGCATCCATCAGAAAGAGCCACACATCCCGAAATCTGGCAGTGGAACCCACACAGCAAGGTTCTGTCCTTGGGACGAGGCGTACTTGGGATAATGAAAACCAAAAACTTAGAAGGAAAACCTAAACCAGCTCCCCCGCCCCCATCACCACTGTACCCAAAAAAGTCTATACTTATTAGCCTCTGTGCAACATTCCAGTGACTGTTTTCTTACTTAAGTGAGCTATTTTGACATATGTTGCTACTTTTGCTTCTGCTGTTTTATTTCAAGTCCATTAGCCTGCTTTCCATTATCGCTCAAACAAGCCTAGAAGTAAACGCTGTCATAGAGCTAACTCCATTTCCTGTGACCACAGTTCCCACACATGGTTTTCTGCTCTGCAGTTGAAACAGCACTTAAAGCTGAGTGGTTCTGCAAACTAGACGGGCCTTCACTTCATCCATCGCTCTCCTCCATTGCAGCAAAAGGCAAAGATGGCTACACATAGGCAGTATGGAGCTGTACAAACAGCCCAAGCTGAAGCAGTCCTTCGGGCCATCGGCAACAGCCCGCCACCTGCGCCCACTCCTGGGCTGCCTCCCCGAGGTCCCTCTGAGAACAGACAACGCCCATGCCACCTCACCACACCCCAGAGACATAAGTTGACATAATCCCTGCGGCACTCTCCAGCTCTTATGTGATGAAAAAGGATTGGGGAGGGAGGAGAGACATGCAAAAGTCACTAAGTCTCATCTTGGTATATTTAGTCTTGGGACTGGAAGCGGTTTGAGAGTTATATTTCTGCAGGACATCCAGAAGGTCTGACAAGACCTTCAGAGAGAATCTTGTGGTCTTCGGCGGACTGAATGTAAAGAGAACACATCATATCGCATTTTTTAAATTGATGGGTAGTTACAGAAGAACGGAGTGGTATAGGGGGAGATGAAGGTGTGGGGGGAGGGGGGAGCTGTGCCATTTGTACGAACATCCATTGAATCTTTAAAATGAATTATACAGGTGAACACAGAAGTTCATGCTACTTGCTGGAAGCAATAAGGATCGTATTTTGTGGAACTCATATTCCACAAATCTCCAGGTATCCTGCCTCGTCCTCTGGGGGTTATCATGTTTTGTCGTACACCTTGACGGCCCTCAAAAACTGGTGGCATGGCCTCAGATAGATTCTTGCAGGAGAGAGACAGGTTTATGGATTCCATCAGCTTCTTCCAGGGGAGCCGCCCGATCTCCAGGAGGGCATAGGTGATACGCTCGCTTGCTCAGGTTCTCTTTGCCCATCTACCAGGGTCAAACAGCGGTTTCGAGGTCCTCATGGGCGATGATCTTATAGTTCTGACGACTTTCTAGGTAAGCAGCCAAATCAGGATCCCCGGCCTGTTGTGCTCTGTCTTGAGGTGTCTTACCCTACAGGTAACGGTAAAATGGGAAAGACACAAACGCTTGGGGTGAGATTTTTTTAAAAAATTCACAGAAACAGAGATTCTTGATGAGTACTCACTAATAAGGATCTTTCCACGTTTCCTGTTTTAGAGTTCGCAAGACACTTTTAAATCTATGATCTGACAGGAGCATCACTTGGCACGTACAAGGTAGGTAAGTTTAAGAGAAAAAGACAATGGCTTTTGACAGGTGGGGTTGACATCTAAGGACATGGAGGTTCACAGAGCCTAACTGAGTACACGGCATGAAACAGAGCAGCACAGTGAGTTTGGCAACCCAGATCTTTTCTGGAAGAAAGTGGATAGAAATCACTGACTGGATAAATGGGGAAGCAGGCATTCTGATTTCAAGTTTGTGGATTCAGAAACTTAGATAAAAAGAGAAACTTTTTCGTGTTGCTTCTCACTTTCTCTTTATTATCTGAGCTGAGCGCAAGGCCAGTCCTTTGTGTGATAAACAGGCAACTGTCCTGCTGTAGTCTGTGTGGCCCCAGCAAGGCCAAGTCTACCTCAGGATCAGGGCCCCCAGTGACCCCGCCAACTGGGCTTGTGTTTCTCAATCAGGTTACACGCCAAAGCGTTTAAGTGCAAATATCATCTGGGAAGAATATCACATTGAGCAATTATCTGCCATTTGAAATGGTATATCCAATTAACTGAACAGACAGGTAACAGAGCCTCTAGAAACCTGGACACAGTTTAACGTGTCTGAAGCCTAGGGAGGCAGCCAGGGACCTCGGTTAGGGAGCAAGAATCGGGGCAGTCACAAGGGAAGTGAAGAATCACACAATGCGACTGGCTCAGAACTGGCTCAGAGAGGAAAGAGAGGTTCAGGCAGGAGAGAAAGTTATTTCACAATGTGCACTGCTGTCCGAGGAAACACTAGGGCAAAAACTGCACATGAATAGATGCTCATCGCTTAAATAAAGTCTACTGGGGCTTAAGTCTTTATTAGGCATCTAGGTCTGTTTCTTGGCTCCATTCACTGGCCCCAAACTTAGGTTACTTGGTACCTGCTCGATGAAGTCCTCATACTCATATGTGGCCAAATACAGCACAAATTGTAAGCTACACTGGATGAAGAAGCTGAAGGAGAAATCCCAAAGGGTCTTCTCAGAGGCCAGGCCAATGTCTTTGAACATGGTCCTGACCGCTCTCCTGGGGCTCTGAACCTCACCTCCCCGCAACTTAGCTGCTGGCACTCAGCAGGAGGAGAACCCCAAATCCTAAGGCCGGCACGCTCAGAGGTTTATAAAGCCCCATCGACAAGCGTGCACCCTCCCTTTGTGCTTATACGTTTAAACTGCAGTTTCTCTAAATGAAGCACTTTATTTTTTCCTCCTTTTTCCAAAGCCCTGGGCACTTCCATGAGCACAGAAAGGACGCCTTTGCTGTGGGCACAAGTGAAGGCGACGGTGCCTGCGATCCTGCCCAGTGGGTAGATGTTTGCACTCGCTCATCAAGTTACCTTGGAGTCCGTCTTTCTCAGAGATGCTCCCGCATCCACCAGAAGCTGGCACACAGCCCGGTTCCGCTGGCAGGCAGCCTTGTGCAGCGCGGTCTCACCCCTAAATCACAGATGAAATGGGAAACCACCCATAAAGGGGCTGAGGGCGGGGCTGGGGGTAGGAGCAGCGAGGAGGGGGTGAGGGTAGCATCCTACCCCTGCTGCTGATGTCCTGTGCCCCTCGGC